TGAGCACCAGTTTTCGGTGAAAGTAACAAAATTTACGACACTCGTCAAATTGGCACGACAGCCCCGAGATCCCCACTCCGAAAAATGTAACACGCGCTACAGCCCAATTCTCCCCATGTTCATTTCGGTGTTCGTTTCATGCTCGCCCTTTGCGAATCTCTGCAAAAACAATGAATCAGAGTTCATGAACATTTGACGCGCCCTTAGGGCGTCTGATTGGTTACAATGAGAGGGTTTTTTTCCACCCGTTGTTGCAGCCTAATCATTGCGAGCAGAGGTGCAGTTAGTTTCGTATGAGGTGTCGTTTCACGTGATTGTGTCACGTGCCTCAGCCCAGTCTGCCTTGGGAAACAGCAGAAACCAGCAGAAACTTGGTGGGAAACCGTCAATTTCGTCTCACCTAAATGCTGGAACAGATCAAGAAACGCGCGGTTCGGATGCAGGTTGCGCGGTTCTTGATTCCTCCAAAATTCCTACGCCCAATTCTTGAAGCCATTTCACCTCGACATTTGCACTCTTCGAAGGACGATCAACTTCTCCCACAGCTTTCAACCTGGCTTCGGTCTACCTTGGTAAGCCCGTTCAAACCTTTTTTTTCTTTTCTTTTCTTTTGTAGTTAGCTATGCTGGAGAGGCGGACGCGCATGGCGCACGCCACGGCATCCCCGTGGCGGCGCCACGGGCCGTGGCGCTCGTCCCGCTCATCCCACTTGCTGCGACGCTCGCGCCGCTCTCGTGGCAACGAGCGCGACGCTCGCCACGAACCGTGGTGGCGGTCGCTGCAGTCGCCGCTCACGCATGCAAGCGTATTGTGACGGCAGTCGCCACTCACGTACGCAGTCGCCGCGCATCGGCAGGCGTGCTGGCATGGCGCACGCTGCCTTCGCCGCTTTTCCTCCATACCTAAACCTCCATACCTCTACTCCTCCATTTGTCCATACCTCCACACGCCCATTCGTCCATACCTCCACTCCTCCATTCGTCCACACCTCCATACCTCCACACCTCCATGCCCCCAAACCCCCACACACCCCCACACTCGCCCATTCGTCCACAAATCCACACCCCCATGCCCCCACTCCCCCACACCCCCACACCCCCACACCTCCACACCCCCACACCCCCACACCCCCACACCCCCACACCCCCACACCCCCACACCCGCCCATTCGTCCACAACTCCACACCCCCATGCCCCCACACCCCCACACCCCCACACCCCACACCTCCACACCCCCAAACCCCCACACCCCCATACCTCCACACGTCCATACCTCCACACCTCCATGCCTCCATACCTCCACACACCTCCACACCTCCATACCTCCACACCTCCACACCCCCATACCTCCACACGTCCATACCTCCACACCTCCATGCCTCCATACCTCCACACACCTCCACACCTCCATACCTCCATACCTCCACATCTCCACACCTCCATGCCTCCATACCTCCACACACCTCCACACCACCATACATCCATACCTCCATACCTCCATATCTCCACACCTCCACACCCCCATACCTCCACACGTCTATACCTCCACACCTCCATACCTCCATACCTCCACACATCTCCATACCTCCACACATCTCCACACCTCCACACGTCTATACCTCCACACCTTCATACATCCATACCTCCACACCTTCACATCTTCACACCCCCTTTATTCCAAACGTGCATACCTCCACACCTCCATACCTCCATACCTCCACACACCTCCACACCTCCATACCTCCACACCTCCACACCCCCATACCTCCACACGTCCATACCTCCACACCTCCATGCCTCCATACCTCCACACACCTCCACACCTCCATACCTCCATACCTCCACATCTCCACACCTCCATGCCTCCATACCTCCACACACCTCCACACCACCATACATCCATACCTCCATACCTCCATACCTCCACACCTCCACACCCCCATACCTCCACACGTCTATACCTCCACACCTGCATACCTCCATACCTCCACACATCTCCATACCTCCACACATCTCCACACCTCCACACGTCTATACCTCCACACCTTCATACCTCCATACCTCCACACCTCCACATCTTCACACCCCCTTTATTCCAAACGTGCATACCTCCACACCTCCATACCTCCATACCTCCACACACCTCCACACCTCCATACCTCCATACCTCCACACACCTCCACACCTCCATACCTCCACATCTCCACACCTCCATGCCTCCATACCTCCACACACCTCCACACCTCCATACCTCGATACCTCCATACCTCCATACCTCCACACCTCCACATCTTCACACCCCCTTTATTCCAAACGTGCATACCTCCACACCTCCATACCTCCATACCTCCACACACCTCCACACCCCTATACCTCCACACGTCCATACCTCCACACCTCCATGCCTCCATACCTTCACACACCTCCACACCTCCATTCCTCCATACCTCCACATCTCCACACCTCCATGCCTCCATACCTCCACACACTTCCACACCACCATACATCCATACCTCCATACCTCCATATCTTCACACCTCCACATCTTCACACCCTCATTATTGCACACGTCCATACTTCCACACCTCCATATCTCCATACCTCCAATCACCTCCAAACCTCCACACCTCCACACCTCCATACCTCCACACCCCCATACCTCTACACGTCCATACCTCCATACCTCCATGCCTCCATACCTCCACACACCTTTACACCTCCATACCTCCATACCTCCACACTTCACACCCCCATTATTCCACACGTGCATACCTCCACACCTCCATACCTCCATACACCTCCACACCTCCATACCTCCACACCACCACACCTCCACACTCCCATACCTCCACACGTGCATACCTCCACACCTCCATGCCTCCATACCTCCACACACCTCCACACCTCCATACCTCCAAACCTCCATACCTCCACACCTCCACATCTTCAAACCCCCCTTATTCCACACGTCCATACCTCCACACCTCCATACCTCCATACCTCCACACACCTCCACACCTCCATACCTCCACACCTCCACACCCCCATACCTCCACACGTCCATACCTCCACACCTCCATGCCTCCATACCTCCACACACCTCAACACCTCCATACCTCCATACCTCCACATCTCCACACCTCCATGCCTCCATACCTCCACACACCTCCGCACCTCCATACCTCCACACCACCACACCTCCACACTCCCATACCTCCACACGTCCATACCTCCACACCTCCATTCCTCCATACCTCCACACACCTCCACACCTTCATACCTCCATACCTCCACACCTCCATATCTTCACACCCCCCTTATTCCACACGTGCATACCTCCACACCTCCATGCCTCCATACCTCCACACACCTCCACACCTCCATACCTCCACACCTCCACACCTCCACACCTCCACACCCCCGTACCTCCACACGTCCATACCTCCACACCTCCATGCGTCCATACCTCCACACACCTCCACACCTCCATACCTCGACATCTCCACACCTCCACATCCCCATACCTCCACACGTCCATACCTCCACACTTCCATACCTCCTTACCTCCACACACCTCCATACCTCCGTACCTCCACACCTCCACACCTTCATACCTCCACACACCTCCATACCTCCATACCTCCATCTCGCCATACCTCCACACACCTCCACACCTCCATACCTCCACACCTCCGTACCTCCACACCTCCACACCTGCATACCTCCACACACCTCCATACCTCCATACCTCCACACCTCCACACTCCCACACGTGCACACGTCCATACGTGCACACCTCCACACCCCCATACCTCCACACGTCCATACCTCCACACCTTCACCCCTCCATGCCTCCACACCTCCATACCTACACATCTCCAAACCTCCATACCTCCACACCTCCACACCTCCACACCTCCATACCTCCACACACCTCCATACCTCCATATCTCCACACATCCACACCTCCACACCCCCATTCCATACCTCCACACCTCCACCCCTCCATACCTCCATACCTCCATACCTACACACCTCCAAACCTCCATACCTCCATACCTCCACACACCTCTTTACCTCCATACCTCCACACCTGTGGAGGTAACGAGGGAATATCAAAGGGAAATCGCCCCTGTTCTCAAGTAAAGTTTGATAACTAGGAGATTCCCAGTATTCAGCACCCTTGCCCCTTGTTATATATACGTGTTTCCCATTATTGAGTATGTAGCTTCTATTCCTTTCTTTGCTTTCGCATATTTTTTTTGCGCCCTGAATGGATATCTCAATGCTGGTGTGTTTGGTCCTCGTTTTTTGCGATCAGCATCTGTCACGGATCCATTGCATTCGTCATTATTGTAGCTTTGTATGGTGTCATGCGTCTTACTTCCCTATGTTACCCTTCTTACAGTTGCCATTTTCAAGCTGTCACACTTCAAGCTCCCATTTACTACACCCATCGGCACTAGGAGTGAGCGAAGAGGCAACGCGATCTCTCCACGACGTATGTTTATATGATAACTCTAGGAAGCAGTATTGAATGCACTTTTTCAATGAGTGTTATGTGTAAGCAGGTATACTTGAGCAATAATTTGTTACAATATTTAAATCTTTTGTACTATTTACTTGCAATGTTGTCCTGAGTGTCATTCCTCAATGTGCAATCATCCCCCAAGCATCAGCCATACCATTTTCTTTTGCTGAATCCGTCGATAAAGCTAGATCTACCGCAATGGTTATACCACTGAAAAAGTATAGTGGTTACAGCAAGGGCTATACGACTCAAAAAACTGTAGTGGCTACAGCAATGCTGGTACGACTGAAAAGGCCGTAGTGGCTATAGCGAGGCCTATACCACTCAAAAGGTTTTAGTGGTTATAGCAATGGTTTTTTCATGGAAAAGAGAAAAGTTGTCGTGGCTACGACAAAGGTCATACTACTGAAAGAGTTGTAATGGCTACTGCAATGGCTGCAATACCCTAAAAGCTGTAGTATAAGCCAGGGCGATAGCCAACACCTCGACAGAATGATTAAGTGAGATACAGGTGTGCGTTGCACAGCATCTCTCTCTCTTTCTCTCTCTCTCTTTCTTTCTCTCTCTTTCTCTCTCTCTCTCTCTCTCTCTCTCTCTCTCTCTCTCTCTCTCTCTCTCGCTCTCTCTCTCTCTCTCTCTCTCTCTCTCTCTCTCTCTCTCTCTCTCTCTCTCTCTCTCTCTCTCTCTCTCTCTCTCTCTCTCTCATCTCTATTTTCTCACATTCCCTTGGCCCCCATTTCTCCTCGTACCTGTCTATTTCTCAAATCTCTTTCTTGTTCTCCACCCTATCTTCTCTCGCTCCTTGTTCCTCCTTTTCCTTCCTTACTTTCCGTTCCCATAATCCCAGGAACTTCATTTGTCTGCAACCGTTGCTCAAGCAACCTGCCTCTCTTCAGCAATTCACGCTGTCCAAGCATTGCAGCCTGAGTCAACATCATGGCCTCATCATCTTCAAGCCATAGAGCAATCATTACTGGAGCTATAGTGGACGGTGAGTTCAAAAATTTACATAAGCTACAGCTTTGCAGTATTACAGGAGATGGGAATTGTTTGTATCGAGCTATGTCCAAGTGGCTACATGGCACACAAAACCAGCATGCGCGTGTGAGACGAGAGATCGTGCATCACATAGCGATGAACTGGGATAACCAGGAGTATAATTACGCAAACGAGGCTAGATTCGGCCACGATAAAGAATTCGCAACGCGAGAGGATTACTTTGCATACGCTTCTCGTGATACAGAATGGGGTTCAATAATTGAAATGAAGGGATTTTCTGTGGTGTTTAACACTTCTGCAATTATTTGGACGAGACCTACAGAATACGACGCTTGTTTTCGTGCAACTTCTGGTATGGAATCTCGAGGAGTGATACATTTGCATTATGATTATGCTCAGAAGCATTATTCTCTTTTACTACCTGCTGAAAACGGGGTTTCGTATGATACCGGCTACGTTCCAGGTGAGAATTTTATCAAGCCAAATGAGTCATTGCATCAAGATTCCTCCTCCAGCAATAACAGCGCAGGTTCATTTATCGGAAACAGACCCATGGGTGATTCACTTCATTGCGCTTCAAGCACATCTGATTTTGTCAATTGCCATACAGGCATTGGTGTAAGCACATCAGGTACGCTTGATAGAATACGGCAAGAGCACCATTGCGGCAAGCGAGCACGAGAAAGGAAGGATGTCCATGTTGATGAAACGACCATAAAACTGATTAGGAATAAGAAAAAGAAAAATCTTAGACGTCGGGGTTGTCAAACACAACAACTGGCAAAGTCCGTATCAAACGACAAATCCATGTTTTGTGTTTGTGATAAAATACCAAAACATGATAATAGTGCCAATGAGCATTACACCGGAATAAGATCTACCGCGCACGGTTTTCGCTTTACAGTTGGGCATAATGGTAAACGATACACGTACTCTGGTTTTATGCATGCAATGGATGCAGCATATGCACGTTCATATTTTATATGCCATAAAATTGGCATGCACACAAATTACGTAATGGAAGTAAATCATGGATTGCACGCTGAGAACGGTGATATTATCTCAAATTCAATCCTTGATCTAAAATTCAAGAGTGTGGCAATCGAGTCGATGCCACGCAAAAAGAGTGAGCATCGTGAAGTTGCAAAGTTTCTTAAAATAAGCACGTATGGCCCAGATGTTGAGTGCACATTGTGCGGCACTTTAAATTTTGGATGCCACATCAAGTCACGTCAAGGCTTGGATTTAAATGAACGTGTTTGTCGAAGCTGTGCAACATATAAGAAACATGGAACTGTACCGCCATTATCTATCCTTAACAGTATTGGCTTTCCATTCCAGCCGAAGGAGCTTCTTGGCTTGACGAACCTAGAAGAGCGTCTAGTAAGTCCGCGGATACCTTTTATGAAAATACACTCATTGTCTGTTGGAAAGCAGTACGGTATTATAGGTGGGGTCATAAACATTCGTGTTGAGATTGATAAAATGGTGAACTCGTTACCAAGAACGTGCGATGATACACACACTGTTACAGTGCGTTTAAAACGTAAAATGGAATATAAAAATAGTGCATTTGAAGAAAACGTCCGTCCGACAAAAGTGTTTAAAGCTTTGCAATTTTTGTGCAAACAGACATTGTTCGTAGAGAAAAATATTCAACTGGATGAAGCAAATGTACGATTACTAGAAAATACTAGCAAGGGATCATCATTGAGTAACAGCAAAGATTCAGATGTCGACGGTGCCATTACAACTTCAACAAATTCGAATGAAAGTGATAAGATCGATAAGCACAATGTTGGGGTGTTGGATACAATTTTATTGCAAGAACCCTTCTACCAACAACCATCTCAACTCACGGTGCAAATTGCCCCAGGCGAACTGTCAAGGCCAACATCAATTCTATTTGACAACGATGTCGAAGAGCTAAGTTTCCCTTCGATATACTGTGGTCAACGAAGATTCAACGGGCTACATAACCCAAACGTGTCATATTCAGACGTTGTCAAATGGGAGTTAAAGCATGCAAATGGTCGTTGTGCTACGAATATAGCGAACATTCTTTTCAAAATGTACAAAAAGGAGATCTTACAAGCCCAAAATGTGATTGCAACAAGGGTCAGACAAGAAAAAATACAGAATGTGCGGACACATGCTAAACGGCGGCCGCTGATATGCTAAACGAAAAGAAACGCGCATTTTTGCAGCAAAACGATACTCTTTATAACGATTTTAAAACGATTCGTACTACACAACAGTATAGGGATAAGTGCAAGCGAGATATCTTCGCAATGTTGCGACAAATAGGTAGGCCGACGTTTTTCCTGACACTATCCATGGCGGACACGAAATGGACGGAACTGCACGCCATATGACTGAAGGTGAATGCTTTGCGTGGAAACCCGTGCAGCTTACCCGACAAAGTCGACGTGCCGTGCGATTACAATACGATTAGCACGTTGGTTCGGAAGGATCCTGTCACGTGTGCTCGTTATTATGATTTCAAAAAAAGGTTGGTGTTTTCTCAGCTACTAACAAACACATCCGAGATTCTCGGAGGTGTGGAAGACTATTTTGCCCTCGATGAATTTCAGCATCGAGGCGCTCCGCATACCCATGCAGTTGTTTGGAGCAAGTCAGCTAAGTGCTTGGGTCATAAAGGAGTTGATGAGATAGTAAAATACGCGGATGTGCATATTAGTACATCATCCCATGGATTGGATTCGAGATTGCTATCCTTACAAACCCATAGACATTCAAGAACATGCAAAAGAGCATATGCAAGCACTAGTAAGTGCAGGTTTGGTTTTCCAAGGTTTTCGCTGCCTACTACTTTGGTTTTGCATCCCATCTCAAATGCTTTGTCGGGGCAACAACGCAAAGAGGTAAGCACCAATGTTAAACGTGTCAAAGAATGGCTTGATCATGTGACGACATCTAACCATTGTACGTTTGCGTCATTTCTTCAAGAGGTTGGATTAAGGTTTGATGATTACATCTTGGCGATACGTTCGACTCTAAAGCGGGTCTCGCTTTTACTAAAGCGGCAAGTTTGTGATGTCTATGTTAACAACTATAATCCATCTTTGCTTGGTGCTTGGAACGGTAATATGGATGTTCAACTATGCGTTGACCCGTACAGCGTGGCAGCGTATGTTGTTTCGTACATGACCAAGGCAAACAAAGGCATGAGCCTTATGATGCGACGGGCTTTGACTAAAGCACGGCAAGAAAATGGCGGAATAAAAGCATTCTTGCGCTTTCTTGGAAACGCGATGCTTAATTCTCAAGAGATCAGTGCGCAAGAAACGTACTATCTATTACTTGGTTTGAAGTATCGATTATCATCCCGACAAGTTCATTTTGTGAACACCGCTCCGTGCGACGAACGACTGCTAACCCTGAAATCGATTAGAGATTTGAAAGCACTAGAGTCGACTAGTACTGATGTTTATCAACCATACGCGTGTATGGAAAGGTACAAACAGAGACCGGTGCTCTTGGAGTCCACGTGTTTGGCGGATTTCGTGTCACTGTACGAGATCGCATCACAGCTTGAAGGTACGAGAAGTATGCGTATGATTGGTCCTGACCTATCAGGTAAGAGAAAATTCTACTATAAACGTAAGCGAGGCAAAATTATACGATTCGTTAACTATCATAAGAACCAAGACTTTGAAAATTACATACGCGAGAGGGTTTTACTTTACCACCCATTTCGAGAAGAGCCATCTGATTTTGGGCTTATTGCGACAATCTTCAAGGAAAATGAAGTGGCAATCATGGAGAAAGAAGCGGTGTATACGAATGGTAGTGATTGTTGGGCAGACGCATTCAAAGCAGCCGAGTCCAACTGTGATAACGAAGAATCAAATGTCTTTGAGACAACGAATAAGGTTGTAGAGAGCGACGTTGAAAGTGTTGACATTGCAAATGAGTTGAATCTTGAAAAAAATGTACGACGAGCCAACGATGTTTTTTCTTACGAGCTCATTAACGACTACGAATATATGCAACTTGAGAGGTCATTAAACCCCGAACAACGGGCGGTATGTGATCATATTGTACACCATATTCGGTTTCAAGGAAGTCCGTTCAGTTGTTTCGTTGCCACGATCCCAAGTGCCAAAATTATGATAATTGGCGATCTCAATTTTGACGATTCCAAAACGATGCCGCTTCGATTTCTCAACTTTATGAAGTCTCTCTCTTTGTCTCAATGCGTTCAAGCTCCAACAACAATACACAACACCTTGATTGATCAAGTGTGGACAAATCGTTGTCATTTTGATGTTCATGTGCATGTTGGTGAGACATATTTTAGTGAGCATTTTCCCGTATACGTGTTAATAAAGTAACGTATTTGTTGGCGTCGACTTGCAGGATCCATTTCATCTTCTCACGATTTTCCTGAGGTATGAACATACGCATGGTTCATTTGGTTTTCACGATCCTGTCACTTTGAACAAACCATTGTAAGTGTTATGTATATAGAAAATCGTGAATATTTCTAGTCATGTAATCATGTTGTTTTCCACATTGTTATGATCCAGAGCTGTTTGTTTGCCGTTTCTCCTAAATTTTCTCCTCCATTTTGTGCATGCTCTCCTATGTGTTTTTAACCAATCTCACCAATAGTTTTCCCCCATTTACCTCGTACTCATCCAATCCCCCATGGCCTAACTCCCCCCTTCCTATATTCCTTCCTGCCAGTGCTGACCCCTACCCATAATTGTCGTTCAACATATTGCGCA